CAGTACCACACACACACACACATCACAAACACAAATGCAGCAACTGTACACTAAATAAAAGTGAACTTTATGTACTTATCACCTGGTATCAATGATGATCCACTCTTGGTCAATTACTCCCCAGCTGCATGGGAAGCAGTAAGTAGGGGATGGAGGTCCAGGCATAAACAAGCAATGCTGTCTCAAAAAACAACCAAAGCAAAAAGATCTGGGGGCAAGGCTCAAGCAATAGAGCCCCCACTTAGCAAGTGCAAGGGGCTGTGTTCAAACCCCAGTACTGCCCCCCACCCTCAAAGTATGAATCCTAGAAAATGTAAATTTGGGAAAATCTTAAAGCAAACCTCCTCATTTTACAGGTGGGCAAAAAGGGGCTGTGTTCAAACCCCAGTACTGCCCCCCACCCTCAAAGTATGAATCCTAGAAAATGTAAATTTGGGAAAATCTTAAAGCAAACCTCCTCATTTTACAGGTGGGCAAAACTAATGATTAGAATAGTAATTCATTTGCCCTGACTTTTACAAAAACGGTGGGCCTACCTAAATGGAACTCAGTTATTTACAAACAGCTTCACCAGTATTTATCTTTCTGAGATGAAATGAGAGAAATATGTGCATATTTTTCATGAAGTTAAAATTCACTTTTAAAAATTATTCTTTGTAAACCATTACAAAAGTAAATGTTTGTTTTATGTCTTATTTGTAATTTGGTTCAATAATACCACATAGGCTACACATTACAAAGTAAGTATAAAATAACTGCTGGCACTGACAGCTGAACAAGAGAAATGTGTTTACTTAATTATCATTGGCCAGTTTTCACACTGTGGACCTAGAGCCTCAGAGTCATCGTAAGTACAACAAAAGAGTCCTGTCTGTCCGGAGTCAGTTTACTTGAGGCCGCCAGGAAAGTCACCTTGAATGACCTGTCACCTCTTGTACCAGACCTCTGTTAATGGAGCAGATTTTGTGCTGATTGCTGTGAGAAGACTCAACAGAGCGGTCAGAGGTGGGCTGATAGGAATTCCATTGAAGGGCATAATTGAATTGAATTTGGCCGCCAGAAGAAAATAGTATAATTTCATCAGAAAAGATGGCAATAGATCCAGTTTTGATTTATTAAATTGATCAGTGTGAGTCACTAGTTTAAATACGTGGCAATGTCTTTTTGTACAGTTATGAAATCACACACAAAATAAAAACTTTTGACTTGAAAAAATTCGGATTTGAAAAACATGCTTAGCATTAGAAATATTAGTAGAATGGCAGTGAAAGTCTTTTTTTAAAAACTGGCACTGAATATTCCAGAATCTAAAAGCCACTTATATTTAAGGTGTTTAATATATAAAAGATGCTTGCTTCAATACAGCAATAAAGTAATCAGAGAGTTAATTCAGTACCAGTAATACAGGACACTGGTCTTCTTTCTCAGGTAGAATTGGTCCTTATTCGGAAAGTATGCCCTTTCTTTTGTTTGGTACTACATGTTTTCTTTCATGGAGTAGTGACAATAGATGGTAACTTTTTAAAAGTAGTATCTTCAATTGGGGAAAAACATTAGCAGCAGTACGAGCATATCTTTTTTAAGTTTAATGCCTGGTCTATAAAACACGTAACTGAGGGCTGGTGGAGTGGCTCAAGTGGTAAGAGTGCCTCCCTAGCAAGCATGAGGCCCTGAGTTCAAACTCCAGTGTCACCAAAAAAAGAAAAAAATACACAGTAGAAGAAACCACTGCACTGTAGCACCTTGGACAACAGAGAAGACATGGGAGAGAACTGCCCAAGGAAAGATCCTGAGGGATGAGAAGAAGTCTACAGCTGAGATCTAGAGAAGCAGGAAGAACCAGCAAGAGGGGCTTGAAAACTGGGTAAGGGGAAAAACACTTCTGGGCACTCTCTACATCCAATTACACTCAATTCCCAAGGAGCCGTGAGTTAAGAACTATCCCCCCAACCCTCTATTTCACTTGCTGCCTAAAGCAAGTGAGAGTTTCCAAGGGTGGTCAACAACGCTCAGTGCAGAAAAGAAGTTCAAAGTGAAGTGGCAGAAGATGGTTAGAAGGCCAACAGAAAGATCAGTGTGAGTACAGGGGTGTGAAAAGAAGCCATCCTGCCAGCAGTTAGATGACCAGTGAGGGTATATTATAGCCCAACTGTATTATTTTTGTTCAAAAAATACTCCCTGTAAATGTTGACTCATAAAGCCATCTTATTTTTCTGCTATCCCACTTTTATTTATAAACAAGTTTGAGTCCAAAGTAAAAAACTACCCTGTTCTCCAACAATCTTCAACATTTTCAAGGCACTTACTGTTATACATTGAGCATTGTGCTGAGGCCTTCAATGCACCTCTGCCTCTGCCCTCGGGACCCAAATAGCTGCTCACACTTGATTCCTTGAAATCAAACGCACTCATCACTCAACAGCTAGAAGAAACACAGAGATAGAGCACCTGAGTCCTGAGGGTTCATACACTTTAGGGAAACTTTGGTTCCTTTTTTTCTTTGGCTAAAGACAACACTAACACATTCCCTGTGATGATTAATCTTCCTTGTCAACTTGATTAGATTGAGAAACACCAAAGGAAATTAGTAAAACACACTTCTGGGTGTGCCTGTGGGGAAGTTTCCAGAAAGGATTAACAAAGAAGACCCCGGAATGTAGGCTACATCATCCCATAGCCTGGGGGCCCATATGGGGAATAACAGGGGGAAAAGGAGAAAGTTCTGGAGCACAGTCATTCTCTGTCTGCTCCCTGGCCACCATGATGTAAACTGCTCTGCCACACCATCCCTGCCATGACGGACTGAAACCATGAGCCAAGGTAAACCTCCCTTAAGTTGTTTATGTGAGGTCTTTTTTCACAGTAAAGTCGGGGGGGGGGGGCGGGATGAGAGGTAAAGGGGTAAGGGAGAGTAGTAGAAGGGGCTGAACAGACCAAAGTAAAATACACTCACGGCATGGACACATTGAGAAACCCCTTTGAACATCGGCTTAGATATTAATGAAAGACAGGACTGTAAAATAGTTGGGGGGGGTACTTTGGGGAGGAGGGAGGGTGAATGAAGGAGATTAAGGTGAGAGTATATGGTGGATGGACTTCAGATATTTATACCAAATAGAACAAAGAAACCTCTTGCGATTGTTTTAAGTGGGGCAGGGAAGGGGTCGAGGGGAGAGAGATGGGGAGGGCGATCTAACCAATGTACAATATAAGCTTACATGGAATTGTCACAACGAATACCCCCTGTACAATGAACATATCCTAATAAAAAATTAATGGAAAAAAAAGAAAGAAAAGTCTCAGTAACACACTGCCTATCCGGGACTCTCTCCCACACCTCTCAGGAATGCTGTTGAAGCCATAAAGCTGGTTTAAGTGTCAATATCTGTGGAACACACTGTCAAAATTCCCCACAAATCTTACCAGTGCTTAAAGAATGTATGAATGTTTGAAAGCCAAATACCTATCCTTCCTTCCAATATTTAAAACTATCAATGAATTAGTAAAACAACACTTAACAATAATGACATTACTTTGAAAAGCAGCACACAGTATATTAAAAATTTGGTTACCCAACCAACATTCATTCATTCCACAGCAATTCAAGTGTCAATGTACCTGCACTGAGGGGACAATCAGTGCAGGTACATTGCAGGGCCACCCTCTGAGGGAGACACCTTGCTGTGAAAGCTCTGGCCCTGACAATAGCTCTGAGGGCCATTTATTTAAAAACAAATGAAACTTGTCAAGTGGAAAATTTTATTAGCAATTCACTTTCTTTGTTTTTAATTTATGAGACTTAAGGGAAATAAACATAATATTGCTATACAAATTTTACTAAATTAAAAAAAAAACCATCTCTTAAAGATTCTTGTTTCATTTACATTCTCATGTACTCACACTGTACAGTAATCATTTATAGAAATTCTGCTGAACAATAAAAATGAGTGAAAATGGCCTCACAAATTATTTCTGAGAATTGCTTTTATTGTGCTTCCTAATAATGTCCATAAGATTGGCTCCTGTAACCAGGTCGCTATGTGACTGTCTGTCTTTCTGCTGTTCCTTTCTCTTCTGCTCATGAAGGTAAGGAGAATTTAACAGCTGCGGGGGAAGAATGGACCCCGTGGGCTTGACTCTCTTTGCGATGTCCCAGAAGAGTCTTTTTGAGTTGTTGTTGATGAAGGTAATTGCTGTTCCACTTTGACCCAGTCTCCCCACTCTTCCAACCTGAAATGCCAAGCAAAGGAGGTTTTCAAAATGCTCACACAGAATCTTAATGTCTCCTGAAAGAAACTGAAGACTACTATTTAAAGATGTTTTACTCAGATTATCACTCGTTCAGAAATTCAAACCCCAATGCCACCAAGGGGGAAAAACATTCATAAGATAGGTACTTCTGATTTATTTAAATTTTTTTCTTTTGGTGCTGGATACTGAACACAGGGCTGTGAGCATGATAAGCAGGAGTTCTACCACTGAGCTAACGTCCCCGCCAGCAGTATTTTTTGAAATATTAGCAGTATTTTAATGTGTATCTCAAATTATTTGTGAAATCAATTTTGTGGGCTGCCAGAAGCATATTTTTTAATAAAACAGCCCAAATACAAAATTAAGATAGTGATCACATATGGCAAAAGTTAATTGATCTGTGAAACTTGTGTCTCAGTCCATCCTGTGTGTGTGTGAGCGGGGAGAGGGTGACAGAAATGTTTTTCACTGTGGGTGGCTTAAGGTAAAAAATTTTGAATGCCCTTGTATTAACAGCAAGAAGACCATTTGCATTAGTGTCCTTAAATGCATTGAAAGGTAGATTTAAACTAACTCATTTCTGTAGTTGTCATTTCAGTAAAATTAAATGGACACAAGTTGTTGTGTATAAGAAGACACAAATCTACTTTTCTCCAAACATACGGTGAAAATATACTGAGCAACTCCTCAGACGAGGGGAAAACACAAAATCACGGTCAACCTGCTCATTAATGAAGACGTAAAACTTAGTCTATATTCAGAAAGATTTATATTAGTCTATATTCAGAAAGAAATGATTCCTGCTAATATATAGGGCATTAACAGTGCAAAAGAAGAAACCCTAAAAAAGCTGAAAGGGGTGGCCTCTAGGGAACGAGACTGGGGAGAAGTGAGGGAAGTGAATATTGTTTCATTATCAGTTTTGCTGATCTGCTTAATGATATTACTGAATTGTTCCAATATAAACAAACATCAGTATAAGAAATGGCTGCAACGCACAAAATGGGAGAAATTATTTGCAAATTGTGTATTTGATAAGCGTATTCCAGAGTATATAAAAAACTTTTACAACTTCATGATAGACAGCCCAATTAAAAATTGGACACAGCAGGCTGGTATCTTGATGCATGCTTGTAATCCCAGTACTTGGGAGGCAGGAAGATGGAAAGGATCACTCGCTTTTTACATGGGCAAAAAGTCAGTGAGACACTATTTGAAAAATAAACTGAAAAGTAAACAAATTGGGTGCATGGCTCAAATGGTAGAGTGCTTGCCTGTCAAGCTTGAGGCCCTGAGTTCAATCCCCAGTACTGGAAGGGGTGGGGGAGCAGGAAGCACAGGATGTGAACATTCTCCAAAATCCTCCAAAGAAGACTTACAAACAGCCAGTGAGCACTCGAAATGGGGCTCCATCAACATCATTAGCCATTAAGGAAATGAAAATCAAAGCCACAATGAAATTCCATTTTCTCCTATTAGGTTATAACAGAAAAGACAGACAGTAACCAGGGTGCAAGGACATGGAGAATTTGGAACTCCTGTATACTGCTGGAGGGAACGTAAAAGAGTAACGTCCCTTTGGAAAGCAGCATGTTACACAGTCATCACATGACCCAGCAACTGCATTCCTAGGTACTCATCCAACGGAAATGAAAACACGTGTGCACACAAAAACCTGTACATGCATGTTCAAAGCAGTGTATTCAGAGTAGTCAAAATGTGAAACAACCCAAATGTCTAGCAGCTGATGAATGGATACACAACAGTGGTATTTCCACATAACTGGCAATTGAAAATGATATGTTAGTACATGCTAGGATATGGGTGAACGCTGAAAACATATGCTAACCGAAAGAAGCAAGTCACGTAAGAATGGCAAGATTCCACTTATATGGAAAGTCCAGAAGAGACCAGTCTATACAGGCAGGAAGCAGAGTGAGGAGTAGTCACCTAGGGAGGAGGGTGTGTGTGTATGTGATACAGAGCAATTGTAGAATGGGGAGTGACTACTGACGGAACAAGGTATTTTTTTATGGAAATGAAAATTTTCTAAAACTGACTGTAGTGATGGTTGTACAGCTGTATGAATATATTACAAAACAGTTAACTATCTGAATTCACTTTAATTGTGTGAACTGGACAGCATGTAAATTCTACCTATAGCATTTACATTGACATATAAAGTGATGGCCAGGCACAGTACTACACACTTGTAATCCCAGCTACTTGGGAAGATGAGGCAGGAAGATCACAAGTTCAGTGACAGCTCAGTAACTCAGCAAGACCCTGTCTCAAACTAAAAAGCGGTAGAGTGCTTGCCTAGCATGAGCAAAGCCCTGATTTAATCGCCAGTAATGTAAAACATTGACAACCCCAAAAAACCCGCCATCCAGTAATCTAGCTGATAGCCGATGTTAACAAATCCCAAATCACTTCTCAGAAGCTCTCCACCCCCCAAATTAAAATCAGACACATGAAAATTCCTATTATAAATTAAATACACATAGTCTCTGATTTAGCAGCTATATTAGGATTTTTGTTTTGGAAATGGGGTCTTGCTATGTTACTCAGGCTGGTGGGCTCAAGTGATCTTCTGCCTCAGCCTTCCTAGTAGCTGGGACTACAGGTGTGAGCCATCATGTCAGGTGGAATTTATTGTACAGTAATACTCACACAGGAGGTATAAAGAGGTAAGTATGTGGATGTGTACTGCAGCATTATTTAATTACAAAATACAGTTCACTGTCCATCAGTAAGATCTGTTAAATAAGCAACAGCACATTCACATGTGACAGTACTTTGCAGAGGCAGGACAACACAAGCCAGATGAAATGAAGTAAAAACGTTTAGAGAACCTGTAAAGAGCCTGGTCACAGAGTAAGCCCTCAATGCATGTCAACATTTATGAAATGGAACCCCTTAAGCATGCTGACAAGGAATGATTATCTAAGATATATTTAATAGGCAAGGCAAAGAACAGTTGGTACAATGTGGTCCAATTACATATGTGTGGTAGGTATGTGTACTTGAGTGGGTGTACATATGCATGTGTGTTTACATATATGCTAATGTGAATGTATACATATATTTTATATTTCTGCACTGTTAACTGTGTAACCACTCAAAAGGTAGAAAAGGAAGGGAAAAAAAAGACTGCTTTTCATTTTATATCTTTTGTTATTTGCATTATTTGTTATCATATGGATGGATATGTACTTTAATTATTCAAATAAGCAAACAAATCAAAACACCCAGATACAGAGGTTGAGAAACACATTTAAAGCCATCTGAGCAGAGGAGACTGATGTCAGCACAGTGTTACAGCATGGGACACAGTGAGTAACTGAGAGCCACAGGCTAGCTGTGGGATAGCATGGAAAGGGTTAAATAGTAATATTTAAGAAGCAAAGAAGCTTCTTAAATATCTTTAAATATCTTTACTATTTTAGAAAGATTTTCATCCAAAATTATTAAAAATGTGAGAGAAGATAAGTTCAGTTATTTGAACAATTAACTCCTGTGTGTTACTCAATCCCCGAGGCAAGGTAAATGAGGTGCTACCAAGAAGAAAAGAAGTTGTTGAATCTAAGTAAAAATGAAAGCAGCAATGTATACAGGCATCAGAAACGTTTCAGTGGGTGACTCAAGTAAATGTGGCCTTCAGGGGTGGCTCTAAGAACATGAGAGAAAGCCTTTACTCAGAGGCTGTAAGTGATGCCCAAGAAGGAAGACAGGCAGCAGTGAGGGAGATAACCCACTAAGAGAAGGCTCTGTTCTCAGAAGGGAAGGTATTGTTACCTTTGGCAGCAAAGGAAAGAAACGAAACTTGAAAAGGTGAAAGACTAGAACAAACAAGGATATGAGAGATGAAGACAAGATTCCTGAAAAAACAAATACCTAAAAGGATCGATTTTATTTTGGACAGATACAGCAACTTAAAATAATTGTTTTAAACAGAGCTTTCTTTTTTGATTACAAAAGCCATTAACACGATCACTGAGAGGACTGGAGGCATGGCTCAAGCAGTACAGTGCCTGCTTTGCAAGTGTGGAGCCCTGAGTTCAAACTCTAGTCCTGCCAAAAATACAAAAAACAAAACAAAAGAAAAAATATTGAAAAAATATGCAAAAATAAACCAAAAATTTGTATCTAATTTTTTTTAAACTAACATTTTAGATTACCTATTTCAGTTTTTTTTTTTAAACACATTTTAGGCCTACCTACCACTTTCAAAAACAAAATTTAGTTTATACACACGTATATTTTAAGAGCAAAAATAGAGAGCAAAAATAGCCGGGTGCCAGCGGCTCATGCCTGTAATCCTAGCTACTCAGGAGGCAGAGATCAGGAAGATCATATTCGAAGCCAGCCCGGGCAAGTAGTCTGCGAGACCCTTTCTCGAAAAAACCCATCACCAAAAAGGGCTGGTGTGGCCCCAAGTTCAAGTCCCAGTACCACACACACACACACAAAAAGAACAAAAATATATAAAGCTTTATATCCTTTTTTTTTTAAACTTAGCACCACACCAACAATATCTTACCGAGTAATACTCATAAACACACAGGTGGCCACAGGCTGAACATCTTTACCTGATGTACGTACTCATCCATGCTTGAGGGCATATCAAAATTCACAACCAGCTTCACACTGACCAAGTCCAGGCCTCGTCCCAGGACCCCAGTGCTCACCACAACCTCGTAGTCTCCTTCCAGTAAACCCTTTACAAAAAGCAACAAATTTCATTCTTCAGAACTTATTTCATATGCTTTTATGTAACTCTGCTATCTTTTCTTTTTTTCAGTGCTTATTTCAATACTTTTGTTACAATATCTTCTCAATAAACACAAGTCTTATTATACCTGAAAAATGTGTGTAGCCTAAATTCTCCCCAGCTCCCATGGTATTACACTATCAATTTACTCAGGCAAATCTTTTCCAAATAGGAACCACTGCTCTGCCTGGACCATACTGACCTGACTTCAGCAACAGGGGACTCTGAATTAGTAATACATTTAATACAGAACTCCTAGAGAACAAGCTTGTTGCCACAAAAACAAAGAAGCCTGCATAAGAGTAAAAATTAGCTTAATGCTTACTGTGTGCCCGGAACTCTCCTAGTATTTGGAAATAGGCCTGTTTTGCAAACCACCTGGTAATGTGGTATCTCTCAAAAGTGAGTCAAGACAGGTGTGCAAGAAAGAGAAGAATAGAGACTGTTGAGTGTCAAACCTTCAGTATACTTTTTCTTTCTATCTGGGACTTCTCTGAATGCATCGATGTGCTTTTTAGACCTGTGATTTTCTGAACGGCCTCACTCAACAAATCTGCTCCCAGTCTGCAGTCCACAAATACTAATACTGGAGGCTTGAAGAGTTTCCTATCCTGAAAAATAAAAAGTGCATTTAAAATTATTCATAGAACATATTTTACAATGGGAAGGTTTTCTGCAAGCATTAGTACAAGTTAGTTATTGAAAAGTTTGTAAGTATCGTTAATGAGGAAAAAAGCTTTATTCTGCTAAAAATGAATGTTTTCTCTAAAATCGGCACAAAACAGAAGCTCACCTACTGCCCTTCACATTTCCCATCACTAATATCACAAATGTTCCAGGCTTGGTGATGCATGTCTGTGATCCCAGCAATCATAAGGCTGAGGCAGGAAGACCTTGAGTTACAGACCAGCAAAGGCTCATAAGCAAAACCCACCTCAAACAACATACAACCCCCACCCTAACTATAACTGTGTCTATACAGCATGCTTTCACAAATAAAAATTCGATCCACGAAGAATTCTGACCCAGCTAAGGCAATTTATTATTAAGTCTCTATATCAAATTCCCCAAAAACTACAATTAAAAAGTCATTCTCTTCAGAGTGGTGAAGAATGCAAATACAGCCCAGAAGCCATGGTTGACTGCCTCATTACTCACATTTAATATTTCAAATAGCTTCTTCTTTTTGGCTGGGTCTTCCACCCACAGGACGATCTGCCGCACGCTGGAGCAGGGCAGATTCTTCTCTCCAGCGACGACTCTCACAGGGTTGTGCAGAAGCCGGTTTGCTAGTTGTTCTATGCTAGCTGGAATTGTGGCAGAAACCAAAATGGTCTGGCAATCACTAGAAACGTTCTCCAAAACATCAAGCACTTGCTGTTGGAAGCCCATCTTTAACATGGTGTCAGCCTAAAATTAAAGCATTTTAAAGTTAGTCTTCCTGACATAAAAACCCAGGGCCACCCAAGACAAGGGTGGTATGCTTAAGGATGTAAGAAATGTAAAACTCTCACAGGAAAACTAAATAATGTTAAAAGGCAAATATTCAACAGGGAAACTTTTACATAAAATTATAAACTGTGCAACTAAATATTTACAAAGATACGGCTGTTATGGCATTAATAGTTGCAAAAACCGTATGTGTCCTAAATACTCTCAATAAATAAAGGACTTGGTAAATTATGGAAAATCCAAGCAACACTCTACTGCCATGTCAATGAGCAGAAAGCCCTTATTAGATATCGGGTGACTGCCAGGAGACTAAAGCAAAGCACGAAACACTGCACATACATGACACTATGTGTTACAAAATATTGCACAAATATAGAATGGAGAGACCAAATTGCTAGCCAGACTATGTGTTACAAAATATTGCACAAATATAGAATGGAGAGACCAAATTGCTAGCCAGACTTGGTGGCAATTTCACTTTTTTTTTTTTTTTGTACTACTGGGGTTTGAACTCAGAGCCCTGTGTGCTACTATTTGAGCCACTCTGCCAATCTGGCAATTTCACTTTTTTTCCTTGCAAAATTTATTTTATTTATGCTATGTTTATAATAAAATTATTTTAAATAAAAATTTTAATGTTGGGGACTACTGTAGTCTGAATGTTGGTATTTCTCCCAAAAGCACTGAGTTAGGAGGACGCCACCCTCACCACGGGATTACTTCTCTCCTTCTTCTGCTGTGTAGGATTCAGCAAGAGGACACCATCTTCGAAGCAGAAAGCCCTCCTCAGACATGGAATCAGCTAGTGCCTTGACCTTGGACTTACCCTCCAGAAGCATGAGAAATAAATTTTTGTTATTTATAAATTATGCAGTTTGAAGTATTTTATTGATTTTTTTTGGTGGTACTGTGATTTGAACTCAGGGCCTCATGCTTGCTAGGCAGGCACTCTACCACTTGAGCCACTCCACCAGTATTGAAGTATTTTATTGAGACGGCAGGGGTTTTCACATCTGAAAATAATTCTGAATTTTTTAATAACAAATGAGCTGCTAAGCAAAAAGGAAAAATTTAAATTAGTGTTGCTTTTTAAAAAATTAAGCCTATCTTGATGCCTACAATTTGGTAATAATAAGATTTAACTTATTTCAAATTAAGGCACTGTGTTTTTCAAGTGCCCACCAATGTACTGCTGTTTGAAGTTTGAACAATTGTTTTAATATTATTCATTCTATGAAAATTTAAAAACAGGAACTAACCACGACAGGCTGGCTTTGATCATGGCTCCAGCTGTGCCCTTAAGCAATGATATTAGCTTTAAGCCTTCGGTTTTCCCCTCACAAGTGAGAAAGACAATACAGGTGGCATTTCCCTGTCCAAAATGCTTGGGACCAGCAGTGATTTAGATTTCAGATTTTGGAGTGGGGATTTTATAAAGAATATGTGCTCATACATAATGAGATGTCTTGAGGATGGGACCCAAGTCTAAACACAGAACTCATTTGTTTCACAAACACCTTGTACACCTAGCCATAAGATAATTTATACAATATTTTTAATAATTTTGTGCATGAAACAAAGTTTCACGGTGTGCTAGTTTCCACTTATGGTGTCATGCCAGTGCCCACAAAGTTTTGAATTTTGGACCATTTAGGTTTCAGATTTTTGGATCAGATATGTTCAACCTGCAATACCTACTTTACAGGGCTGCTATGAGGATCAGGGAACTAAAGTATACACAATACATAACACACTATGACAGAGCCTACAGCCCAAGTTTCAGTCAACAGTTGAATTGATTATGAGACACAGAAAACATCTGAGTGAGCACACACACACACACACACTCAGGTACACTGCAAAAATCCCCCACATTCCTCAATAATCCCACCAAGCCCCACACATCTCAGTAGATGCCTTGTTTCTCCTATGTTGGCCTTTGGAAATAAATTCCTCTGCCTCTCTTCTCCTGCAAGCCTTGTGGAGGTGGTCTAGCCTGCTGCCTCCTGTCCTCCCCGTTCTCACTCCAATTCACTGTTCTATAAACTGGTCCTCACCCTCACCTTGCTGACTTATCTTTCAGGTGGAAACCACTTCTCAAGAGCCACCTTGAGCCTCAAGTCTCCATCTCTCTTTACAATAATTTTTGAGAATAATAGAATGTGTTCACCATAGAAAACTTGGTAAATGCAACAATCCAGACATTAGCACCAACTCCCTTTAGATTTCTGAAACATGTCTAGAAATGCTCCTCCCCATCCTACACCACTAGCCTGGCTCAGAGTCTCCCTTACGTCCTGGTAACCGTTTTCCTGCTTTCAGGCTATTCATGTCCAGAAACCTGTCTGATTGTGACACATTCCTGCTTAAAATCCATTGCAGGTTCCCAAATGTGTACAGATTGAAGTTGGGACTCTTTAATCTCTTACAAACCATGTGCAGAAGATATGTAAAAAGAAATGTACTAACTACAGCTATTTTAAGTTGGGAGGAATATAGGCCCCACTCTCCCAGCTCCCAACTTATTTATTTATTTATTTATTTATTTATTTATTTATTTATTTATTTTCTTAACATAAGAGATGAACACAACATAATCAAGAAAGACAATTACAAATGTTGCAATTTGGCTGTTACAAAATTGCAGTAGCAATGAAGCAGCCATCAGCAAAGTCCTGTGACTTGCATGGCTATTTCTACTGGGAAATACTGTCCCCAGATTAACTGCTAACAAAGCAGCGTGCAGAAAACCTAGTGGGAAAATTTTTTGTGGTCATGACCATAGCAAGTGAGAAACTGCATTCTAAAAGCCTTGGTAATGACTGTTCCAATTTATTTTTAATGTGCCTAGATTACTCTTAAAATACAGTTGTCATTTAAAATGCAGAATCGGCCATGATGAGCGTTTAAAAAAAACCCAGAAAATATGATAGAATACAAAATAACAGAATGGAAAAACCACACGTAGCAAGGTGATTATTGTGTGTGAAATGCTGTTTCACTCTTACGTTCAAAAACGCAATATTCATGCTGAGTCCCCATTTAAATTGTATTTTTCAAAGTCCCCATTTTAATTGTATGTGGGAAAACCTTACTTTCTACACCTCAGTTTTCTATTTATAAATCCATTTCCTACCTTAGAGAATGCTAGTAGATTAAAATGTGAAAAATACATACTTAAAAAAAATTCTTAAGAGCCAGGTTCAGGGCACTGTCTCTTGGGACCCTCCCACCCCCAATTCTGGGGGCTCTCCTCTCCCAATTTACTCTTTTCTATCTCAATAAACTCTCCTGCTTTACACTTGAGAAACAAGACAAACGACACCGGGCATCGGTGGCTCACACCTATACTCCTATCAACTCAGGAAGCAGAGATTAGGAGGATTGAGGTTCAAAGCCAGCCCAGGCAAACAGTTCTTGAGACCCTATCTCAAAAATACCCTTCACAAAAAAAGCTGGTGGAATGGCTCAAGGTGTAGGCCCTGAGTTCAACCCCCAGTACTGCAAAAAAAAAAAAAAAAAAGAGAGAGACAGAGAGAGGAGGATCTTGAATTCAAGGCCACCTTGGGTTACAAGACCCAAGGCTTCATAGTCTGACTCTTTCTCAAAAAAAAAAAACCAACGATAGAGTAATACAGGGTGTGAATTTGATCGAAATACATTATATGCACATATTAAGTATCACAATGAATCCTCTTTGTACAATTAATTCACACTAATAAAAATAAGTGAACCCATAAAAAAATTTTAGAGATAAGAGTTCTACATAAATATAAGGTATTTCAAGTCTCCATTTCTTACCACTTACAATTAAAACAAACCTACTCAGAAAATGCAACAGTAAGAGGTAAACGCAGAGTAAGATATAGAAAAAGAGGTAAATGTGAATGACCCCTAACTATAAACTGCTAAACTTTTCTGGAAAATGTTGTCTTTAGTCCTGCCTACATTTTGTCATCACTCATGATGTCATTAATGTCTGACAATCTGACTTGCATCTTTACTACCAAAACTTCACTGTTGAGGTCCCAGGGCTAAACATTCACTCACCCACCAAACCTTTACTAAGGGGCTGACTGCTTCAGAGTTCACGTTACCTGGTGCACACATGCGCCAGGCACCTTCCCAGTGCTGCCCTGGGAGGGAGGCACCACTGTGATCCTAGTTTTACAATGAGGAAACTGAGGCAGATTACCTAGTTATTAAGGGGTAAGGTGGGACACAGACGCGGGTAATTGGCTGTAGAATCTACATTGTAAACATGAAGCTGAAAGGCTGGGTGTCAGGTGGTCAAGACACATGAACAGACCCTACTTCCACAGAATTCATGGTCTCATAGGGAGACAGATGAGTCGGCAAAACTTTCAGTATTCATATATTTGAAATACTATATATTTACATTAGAGCCCATAACATAATTACCATCCTCCTTCACACACCTGCATTCTTCTCTCATGATTTTTCTCCTCCCCTTTTTTTTCAGACTCCTTTCTCTTCTGCTCAGTCTCCCTATGCTGGAGACCCCCATGTGCTGGGGCACAGGCCCGCTTCTGTTCCCCATCTCCACTCTCTCCCTAGGTAGGACCGACACATTCCACAGCTCTGAATACCAGCCATGTATGTATCAAAGATTCCCGGAATCTTACCTGATCATAATGTTAGTGGCAGAAACCAAGTGCCCATTTAGCAACCAGGATCTAACAGGCCCTTAAAATTTAACAGGTTCAAACTCTCCATGAAGCAGCATCATTCGAAACACTGTTCCATCTCCTCGCTCCATCATTCCACGTCTACTCCATTACCAGTTCTGCTGGCACCAATGTTAGTGGTAGACCAAGGCTGATCTCTTCGCTTCAGCTCACACCTAAGAGGCCGCTCCCATGCCTGACACTTCACTCCATGATCTGTTCTCCTCAAGGAACCATCACGCTTACAATAAAACCCAACTTCCAGCCATGGCCTCAAAGTTCTGCAAATGCTCAACCTTCTCCCCTTCTCTGACCTCATCTCCTACCACTCTCCCTCAGTCTCCTTACCAGCCACACCAGCCTTCTTTCTATCCCCAAACAACTCAGGCTCATTCTCCTGTTAATACCTGGGTCTTCCCGTGACTACCTCTTTCTCATTCAAAGAGTCCCCACCTACCTATCTAAGGCAACCCCTGATTGTTTCTGCCATATCACCTTAACTGGGTACATTTGTCACAGCTCTGTAGGGCAGAGAGCTCATCTGTATCACTTTCCACTATATCCCCAAAACCAACAATGTCTAGCACATCAAAAGCCCCGAAAATGTACTCTGTAAATAAATAACATTAATTTTAAGCACTGAAAAAGCACCGAATTTTATGTCACTCAGTGTGTCCCAAACCTCTCTGAAAGTGAGAATCACCTGGAATGAGTTTTTAAATATTCTTGGGCTCCAACTCAAGCCTAGAGAATCAGAACATCCAAGTGAGAGGTCTGATCTTGTTTATATTCACTGAACATGCCATGAATTTTTTTTTCTTTTTGTCACAATAGGGCAGGGTCTCACTAGATAGCCCAGGCTGGCCTCTACCTCATGATCCTCCTGCCCCAGCCTCCATTTCAGATCTGAACACACACCCGGGCCTCTAGGAGATTTTTTTTTCCTTTGGCAGTACTGGGGTTTGAACTCAGGACCTTCATCTTAAGCCACTCCACCAGCACTCATTTTTTTTTTTTTTTTTGTGATGGGTTTTTTTGAGATAGGGTCTCGTGAATTATTTGCCCAAGGTTGGCTTCAAACCTCAATCCTCCTGATCTCTACCTCCTGAGTAGCTAGGATTACAGGTGTGAGCCACTGGTGTCTGGCCATAGGACAGTCTTATCTTTAGGCAACTTGGGCAGACACTGTACAGATCAGTGGGATACAATCAGGAACACAACAGAGAGAAATAATAAATACAAGAGAAATAATAAAGTCTGTGCACAGTTCACCATAGCATGGGAGAGAAGGCCCAAAGTCTCAGAAGGGGAATGGGGAATGGTTTCAGAGTCCCTTGCTCTGAAGCAGTAAGCAGGAAGGAGGAGCTGGATGATGGGGTGGGAGAGAATTTTAGGCCAAAGAGCAGGTCTGATAGGAGACACAGAAAGGTGACAGAGTAGAATTTTTAAATTCCAATGAATTATCTCAGTTTTTGTCTCTGACCACTCCCCCTACCTTGAAACCATGCCTTCTGTCTTTGACGGATGTCAATCATTCTTAGCTTCCCTCTGTCTCTCAGACTACTTCTGTTTACTGACTCAGTGTCCAAGTCCTTGCCAGGCCCTTAGCTCAATCTTTGTCTCTCTGCTTATTTCCCTCCAATCTTCCTCCCTCAGAGAAGCCTCTGTGTCAAATGGGCTCCAACACCCAAACTCAAACAGTAGCACCACGACCCAGCATTTATGCACTTACCCTTTCCTAAAATTAGACACAACTATTATTTATGGAGTCACATCTACGGCTGATTTCTTCTTCCTCCCTTGTATTTAGTCATCAGAAGACTCGCAAGTGGTGGCTTTACAGAATTAACCCTTGAGTCCCATTGCCTCCACCCTCTCCCTGACCCCTTCACCTCTTGTCTGGACTGCTGGCTTCTTGGTCTCACAGATTCTTTCTTCTTTAATTTCTCTTGTACTGAGCAGGATAACCTTCCCGAACCACCACTTTCAACATGTTACACCCGAACTCAGTAATTTGGAAAGCCTCATTGCCTCCCACATCAAACCCAAATTCTTCTCCTCCCTTGCAGGGCCCTCTATAATTTGACCCCACCCTAACTACCCAACTGTACTTCCTATTATTTCTCAGGAAGAATTCTTCAAGCTGGTTGGTCTCTTCCTGTACCTGCCACAGGATACTTGGACTTTCTGACTTTGCTTATGTTATGTTTGATATGCCCTCTGTTTTCTAAACCTTTTTAAATCTTTTGAGGTCAAGGTCAAATTCCATTACCTCTGACAAGCTATGTTTCACAGTGCTAATACGTCACTCTCTCATTTCTCCTTCTGAACTTGTCTTGTACAATCATATCATATACAATCTTACCATTTCACTAACAGCTTTTATCAATGGTTGTAAAACTATGACTCTCAGGACAAATTCCAATGAATAAAGTTTGTGTAAACATTCAGTCTTTTTTGGGGGCACTGGGAATAAAACACAGGGCCCTGTACATGCTAGGCAAGTGCTCTATCACTGAAGTACCATCCCAGTCATTAGTTTTTTGAGACAGGGTATTGCTACATAGCCAAAGCTGGCCTTGAACTCGTGATCCTCCTGCTCAGCCTCCCAAGTGATCGGATAGGTGCGTGCCAACTATGGACCTGCAACCAGTCATTTTCATACTGTCTATGGTTGTGTGGAGACCATAATGACCTGCACGGCCTAAAAATTTTACTGATTCTTTACAGAAAGCATTTGCCACCCCTAGACTACATCACGCATTTGAGTACTTTTGCATCTCAGTCTAGAAGATCATGTTTGGTCTTTACTTCAAATGTATACGTCTTTTCTCTTCAGTAAGACTTTAGCACCTCGTAGGTTTGAATGGTATTCAAAACTTCTGTGTAATTCCATCCAGAGTTGGTCAGTCTGCACCTAAACAGCACTTCTGTGCTGACGTCAGCTTCAGTACATAACTGATAATGTTGTTTACCAGCTCATCTCCTCTCTAGAAGACACAGAAACCATATTCCTTAAGTGCTGAGGAGCCTGGACAGGGGCTGTATTAATTGGCACTCAATGTATGTTTGCTGAATGGGTACTTCTTGTGTACCTAACAGTGCACACAGCACTGATGTGCCCTCTGAAACCTTTTAACTAAGAAAATGACAATGCTGTACAGAGAAGGGAGGATGAATAAAACCTAACTTTAAATCCCATACAGGAATCATTTCTCAGCTGAGTTGGTAGTGTACACTTGTAATCCCAGTACTACCACTGAGCTGTACCTCCAGCCATTGGGAGACTGAAGCAGAAGGGTCCTGAAGTTCCACACCAGGATGAGCAACATAGCCAGTTCCAGGCCAGCCTGGGCCACAGGGTGAGACCCTGTCTGAACAAACCAACAAACAAAAGAGTAATTTCTCAGGCTCTAAAGATGGGGCAAGGGTAAGAGCCAGGCCTTATCAAGAAAGGGAAGCTGAGCCGTGCGAGCACTAAGTCTCATAATAGCCAGAAGCAAAAAGTCAGCTCCATCAGAGGCCCTACCTTCACAGACCTGTAGGTGCTGAATGGTGTCTTTTCATGTTTCTTTAGGACTATGAGACATTCTTGCACTCTGTCTTTCTCCCAACCCAGGTCTCCCCAGTCACAATGTGTGCAGCCCAAGCACAGGGCCTGGGCTGAGGCGTGTATAGGGTACACAGCCTACGGTCAGCATCAAGAGGCCAGCTGCACTCTTTCTTCATCCTTACCACTGCTGTTCTAGAACAGTAAGCAGCCTGCCTCACATCTCACAGGTGGTGAAAATGTACAAACCTTGCTCTTGAGGATCCTGGCTCCATACTCCATCCTTCCACATACTCTGCTATGTAGTGGGACCCTCAGGGCATGCTGGGGTGCTATCACTGGTCAGCTCCTGGCACCCCACACTTCCATCACTGCTGGGGAACACCAAGACTACGGTCACTGCTGGTGGGACATGTGCCCTGCCGGCAGGAATGGCACATGGCCAGTGTGGACTGACATGTAGGTTTTAAGTTCTCAGGCTTGTCAGTGTGATGGAATATAATCTAATAATTATAATAATATAATATATATAATAATGCACTAAATTTATCTTATTGCATAAGCCAAAAGTATAAAATCCTTGTATGGTAATATTAACAAAGAAAATCCCAACCACAGATGCCTATGTCCACATAGAAAAAAAAAAACAAGGCCATCCAACCAAGCATTATTAGTTACTTCCATAATTCCCACTAAAAAACTATTTGTCACAGATTCCTTTATTTTGGAAGACAAACCATCAAAAATGTTTTAAAAACTTCCACTGAGAATATGGTACCTAATGAATGTGTGCTTTCTATCATTAGGAAGATACCTGGCTTCATTTTAGTGAACTGTGCCTTAGTCTAGCTGTAGTGTGCACAGGAAACAGCTTAGGAGACGCCTCTGTAATTTTATTAAAGCCCGTGAATTTTTTTCCTTTAGTGCAGAAAATGCCCAGAATATACAATGAAATTTATATAACTATAATATACTTTTCATAAATTACATAAAATTACATGACTAAATGGTTTTTAAGCATCACTTACTTCATCAACTACCACAATCTTTATACCACAGAGTGCCACAGAGTTCTGTTTTATTATATCCAGAAGTCGCCCAGGAGTTGCTATGATAACCTGAATAAAAAAGAAAAAGCAAATTTACAAATTAGAAAATATTCATTCATTCATTCATTCTATTTTTAGTGAGTGTCAAGCATATGCCAAACACTGAGTCAAGTGCTCAAAATTCAATGATGAGTAAGTCAGGCACAGTTTCTCAACAAACCTGTAACATAAAGGAAGAAACAAGTGCGAATGCAATACGGTACATACTCAATGGAGGGTTCTGTGCAGTCCTTCCTGGAACATAAGCCCAAACCTAAAGGATCAGTGGGAGTGAGCGAGGTGAGGATTCCTGAGGCCAGTGAGGCTTACAGGTGGAAGGGAGGCAGGTAATGGCCTGGGTGAGGCTTGAGGATTAACAGGGACCAGGAAGGGCCTCACAGGCACTTTGACAGCTATTTGGCTCTCTGAACAAGTACAAATTCCTTCACCTCTGTAGGCCTATTATTTCATTTTGAAATTAAGAGACCGGCACAGTGGTTTTTAAGACTACTCAAGATTCTTAAGAGTTTTAAAATATACTATACTAAGTGAAGTAGTGGCTAAAAATAGGGCCTCTCTGGTCAAAAAAGCTTCAGTAGCAATCCTGGCTCTAGTGTTAATACTGGGCTATCTGTTCTCTCATCCATAAAGTGGAAATGTCAATAATTATGGCAAGGATTAAATGAGAAAGTGCCTGCTAATAGATGAAGAGTTACGACTGATCTAGTAAATTCAATTGCATTTCACTTGTCAAATACACACAGACAGGCTGGTGAAATCACTGAGCGTGACATCTCAGGGTTATAGGATCTGTAGCTTCAGAACGGTAGCGTTCCTCACAAACTTTCAACTCAATTTTAATTTTTTATTCTCAGTTGAGTTTATTCCTTCCTTTCCTTCCCCCACTTGGTTAGAAAGTTAGAAACTCTTTTTTATTCTTGAAAAGCTTTCCCTTTCATTGTAACAAATATGTACCATTTTGCTTTGCATTGGTTATTTGTGAGATGGGATCTCACTTTATGCCCAGCATGGACTGCAATCCTTCTATCTGTGCTTCCCCACAGCTGGGACGACAGGTGCACCACTGCGCCCAGCCATTACCACAGCCAGCCACTGGTTGAGATGGGGTCTCGAAAACTTTCTGCCCATGCTGGCCTTGAACCATGATCCTCCTGATCTCTATATCCCAAATAGCTAGGATTACAGATTTGAGCCACTACACCTGGCTTGTTTTGTTCTTTGAGACAGACTCTTGCGATGGAGCACAGGCTGGCCTGGAACTCCCAATATAGCCAAGGATGATCTCGAACGCTCTATCCTTGCCTCTGCCTCCTGAGTGCTAGTAACAAACATATATAATTTAATAAAGTGTAAAGTTAATTAAAACTTCCTTTTTCTTGGACAGTCAAGGACAAATGCTTTAACACCAATCACATTTGCCCTGCACTTACATGCTACTGTTGGCCACTACGCATTTTCCATCTGTTATTATTACTGTTTTTATTCAGTCAATGTTTATTTGCATTTACCCACATCTTGCTGTCTTCTCTGGACACCAATTTTTCTTCCATATCATACCTCCCCTTTTGGAATCCTCTTCTTTATCCATAGAATATCTTAGCTTCAAAGCTCCTTTAGATGATGTATTGGTACATTTCCCAGTATTGGTAATCTGAAAAGCTCTTTATTTTGCCCTTGCTCTTGAAAAATGTCTCAGTTATTTTTTTCTTAGAGGGTGCTGGTGGGGAAGCAGGGCTGGAGCAAGGAGTGAGCACGGCGGCAGAGGAGGGACCTGCAGATAGGCAGCCTGCATAGTGGCTGGAGCCTGAAGGGGTGAGGAGCCTAGTGATGGAGCATGGCTGCAGGGGAAGGGACACTGCTGACACTTAAGAGACTAGACACATGTAAGAGGATTGGTCAAATCAATACATACATAAAGGAAAGTAGGTAGCAGGTTTCCCCCTGTTAGTTACAAGTATGGTTAACAAAAGACTTGAACTCCTGCTGTGCTGAATTAGAACTGAATTAGCTCTACCCAATGACAGGTTCTAGAAGGGTGACAGCCCAAAAGCAATGAGCACATACAGAGCCCACATTCAGAAACCAAGGGCTCCTTAGAGAAAGGCACGATTCCAGGGCTGGACTAGAGACAGAACAAGGCCAGAATGGAGCATCCTCTTTTAGACAGAAGTACTCAGAGTGCTCATGATCAAAGGACAAAGCACCAACTTGAAGGCACTTCTACTGGTCAAATCAGAGACAACCTGGGCACCAAAACAAATAATGGGAATAGCAGACTATAGACCTTCAAATAAAATAGAAAAATACGATAGGTAAAGAAGCAAAATATTTACTAAATATAAAGCTAGGTGGCTCATGCCTGTCTGTAATCCTATTTGGGAGACTGAGATAGGGAAGACTGTGGTTCCAGGCAAGCCCAGGCAAAAAAGTTTCTGAGACCTCATCTCAACAAAAAAAAAGCTGGGCATGGTAGCATGTGCCTATCACCCCAGCAATGGAAGAAAGCATAAAATTGGAGGATTATAGTCTAGGCCAGCCTGGGCAAAAGCAAAACCCTATCTCCAAAATAATCAGAGCAAAAAGGGTTGGACGTATGGCTCAAGTGGCAGTGTCTGCCCAGCAAACACGAAGCCCCAAGTTCACCACCAAAACCAAAATTGACCAGGAAACAGACAAATTGAAATCTGTCACCTAAACAGATGCAATGAAAAGAACAAAGCATCATATCAAAGCCTGATATTGCTGGCAAAGATACAGAATTTGAATCTCTTCCACTAGGGATGTGCTTCAAAGGTGGCTTGCACATCTTAAAAGTGTTAAGATCATGAAAAAGTGGAAAGACCAAGGTACCATTCCACACTGAAGAAGATGAGAGAGAGTCATGGCAACTAAATGCAACATGCAATTCTGAGGTGGATTCTTCAGCTAGGGGGAAAAAAAAAAGGTGAGACAGTGGTAAAACTCTGAATCGGTCTGAGGTGTACATGATATCAGTGTTAATTCCCAATGTATTAAAACTAATAATGTCCTTGTCATACTCTATAAAGCACATGGGGGTGATAGGACATCAAGCCAACAACTTACTTCCACGGAGCTTAAGAGAAGAAAAAAAAATGTTCTTTATACTGTATTGGTCACCTTTCTTTAAGTTTGAGACTTTTTTTTTGTTTTTAGGAAAAGTGTGTGAAAACACTGTAACCATCATCTGAGTTACTAAATGTTGCAAACTAGACCCCACCACTGCATTAATTTATCTCTTAAAAATGGGAATGCAAAGTTAGTTGTTTAAAAACTACTAGAATTCTGTGGGCTGAGGATGAAGCTCAGTGGAAGCTCAGTGGTAGCCTAGCAAAAAACCACCTTTACCTGTTTTATATATTGGAGGCCCACATTAAAAGTCTCTGATCCAGTATCTTCTTATCAACCTGTAGTTTTGTTTTGTTTTGTTTTTTTCTGGTGCTGAGGCTCGAACCTGGGGCCTCACACATGTGAGGTAAGCTTTACCACTGAGTTCCATCCCTAGCCTATCAACCTGTAATTTCTTAAAATTATATTTTACATGTCTTCAATCTGTCACATACATCTCGTTTGGCCTCCAACATTCCTATAAAAAAGGCTGATAACTGCTGTCCCTCCCCAGGAGTGACCCATCAACTCCCTGGTGTCTCAGCTCTTCCCCTGGGACTTCATAAGTAGGGAGCAGAGTAAGATAAAGTAAAATTTCAATTTTGACAAGTATTATTAGCAACCAATCCTTAGATATATCCCAGCTTTCTAAAATTCAACTTCTCAACTATGAAAGACAGGCTATGCCAAACCCCCTTCCAAAGCAAAGGCAATGACACCCTTGAGAACATCCAACCGTGTGTAGCACACAACAGACACTCACTATTTTGTGCTCCTTTTCTTTCCTGTATAAAATGAACTTAAAAAAATGAAGACTTACTAGGCAAGAATTTAAAAGCTATTTAAAATTGCACATAAATGCCAAAGGAGTAAAGGCCCACTAGCTCCTTTACTGCTTGCAACACTTTTCAAAGATGTCCAGTCAGATGTGAGCTTACCTTGACATGCTGTCGCAAGCGGTAGAGCTGTGGGGGGAGGGGGAGGCCCCCCACAAGGAGCACGGTTTTCATTCGTGGCAGACCGCTCATCAGTTCCTTAGCTTGTCTCTCTATCTGAATGGCTAACTCTCTTGTTGGCGTGAGAATAAGTGCAGAAGGAGTTTTACTCTGCAAAGACATGAAAAACAAGGCAGAAACACCAACAATTCATTTCTGCTGACATGGACTAACTCTTCTCAGTTGAGTTCAGGAACATTTCTCCTTTCAAGAATTCTAGAAAGGAGCCCTCTTGCCTTTTTGCTCACTGCATGCAAATTTTTCCTCCAAAAACCATCTTTAAGTCGATCCCATTTTCTACATAACACAGATATGCAATAAAATATCAAAATTGGGCCAGGTAGAGGTGTCCATCTTACCCAAGGTGGGAAAACTGAAGGTTTCCTCGTAGTTGGACCCTCCAATCTCTAGTAACCCTCTTCTGAAGAGAAAAACCCAACAGTCACCATGAAGATCTGGTCAACGCTTGGTATTCTCCTCATTCTCCCCTCAGCTCATTTATAGACTCGCTTTTTCTTTGTCTAAAGAATTTTTTTTTTTGAGGTACTGGTGTTCAAACTCAGAGCCTCACACTTGGTAGGCAGATACTCTACTACTTGAACCAGTCTCCTAGCTCTTTTTGTGTTGGGTATTTTTGGAGACAGTTTCTTGAACTTTGATCCTCCTGATCTCTGCCTTCTAAGTAGCTAGGATTACAGGCATGAGCCACTGATGCTGGCTAAGAACTTACTTTTATATGAGAGAGAGAGAGAGAGAGAGAGTGAGTGTGTGTGTTTGTGTTTTTGTGTGTGTTTGTGTAGGGGAAGGGTTTCCATATAGCTCTATTTTGGTACTCCAGTGAGTGTGACCTATGTTTTGAACATCTACTACTTTCACTTTTTTCCCCACATTATCTTTTTTTTTTTGATAGGGTCTTGCTATGTCACAAAGGTGGCCAAGAAGTCATGATAGTTCTGCCTCAGGCTAAGTGCTGGGATTACAGCCATGCACCATCACACCTGGCTTTCTACTACTCTTAATTTTCTGTTGTTTTTTTTCTTCCGTCTTCATCTCTCCTCTCTTTACCCACATTTTACACTCCTTTCTCACCTTGCCATAGTTCATAGCTCAAAAGCTCTCCAGTACAAGTTAAAAGCATCCCCCAAACCAAAAGTAAGAAATACAAAATGCTCTTAAAAATCACAAAACATTTTTGTGAGCACCAGCATGACGTTTGAAAGTTTCACATCATGGAATACATCATATTTTGGATTTTTGGATCAGGGATGCTCAACTGGTAAAGTCTATGCAAATGTTCCAAAATCAGAAAAACTCCAAAATTTTCAACGCTTTTGAGCCCAAGGATTTCAGTTAAGGGACAGTCAACCTGCTCTTGGTAAACAATTTCTCGAAACGATTGTTAAATGAATTGTGTGAAGGTACTGTATACACTATGAGCTAATAAGGTCAGGTGTTATTATTTAAAGATGAACTATGAATCACATTTGAGGGTATATTTGAAATCCTAAAGAAGAGTTACGACTTTGATATAAAGCAGTCAGTCTCTTCAAAATACAAAATCCAAGGAAGCTTAATTGACATATAAATTGCAGCTCATCTGGTCAGCAGGATTTCCCCCAGATCAAAAGCTTCATCTTTTAATAGAAAATCTGTTAAAAATAAAACGTTCTGTAAGGAAAATAATTGTTAGAACTTCAATCAAGAGGTCATTAGTTCAACCTCATAAAAGAAAAATTCTCTAAAATTATGTTTTGGCCAGGCGCCAGTGGTTCACGCTTGGAATCCTGGCTACTTGGGAGGCTGAGATCAGGAGGATCAGTATTCGAGGCCAATCCCAGCAAAAGTTTGAGACACTCCCTGCCCCGCCCCACGAAAAGAACCAGAGTGAATGTGTTACTTTGGAAGCACTAAGGCCTGAGTTCAAACCCAAGCCCTACCCCCAACAAAATAATAAAAATAAAATTATGTTTTGCCTACAAACTACCAGAAAGAAGCAGAATCACTATGAGGTTCAGTTGACTTAAGGTACAAATATTTGGTTTCAGCTTGCAAATTTAATACAGTGAAGGATGAAACTTGGTAAATAGCCCATCTGCTTGTGAGCTTATAAATTACCTCAAATAAAGCTCGGATGATAACAGGGAGAAGGAAAGCAGCTGTTTTTCCTGAGCCAGTGTCTGCACTGGCCAGAATGTCTCTTCCCAGAAGTCCCAAGGGGATCATCTGCATTTGGATGGGGGTTGGCACCTCATAGCCTGATGTCTTCATGTTGTGATTTAAAGCCTCAGGGAAACCACAATGTTCAAAGTCAATAATGGGTCTGGTGACTTCTTGCCCTTGAACTGAAATTCCTAGCTGCTGTTTAAGGTTTTCAATCTGGTCTTCCCGAAGGCTGGATATAAAGGGGTGTTCTCTGTATACATAAAAAGCACCAAGTGGAGGCTCTGGTTGAGAACCAGCGTCCTGTGGATTGCTGAGTTTTAATTTCTCTTCCTTTTCTTTAACCTGTACAAGATGTCGCGCTTTGCACTCCAAGCTGCACACATCTTCATCTGTCTTGTCACAGATGTACTCTCCATATCGACCACAGACAACACACACAGGCTCCCCGGGCTCTGCCCAGCGCTGCGTTTTGGCAAATGATTTCACAGGCTCTTCAAAAGGATGGCTGTCCTTTGTATCCTGCTCAGAAACCTTGGCCAACTGGCCAGCAGAACTGGGGAAGGAGTCCGATTCACTGCTAGGCAGGTCTGGGGCTGTGGCTTCTTCTGTGCTTACAGCACGGACTGGATCATCTCTGCCTTTGTCCACTTGAAGGTCTTCTGCGTCTGCCTTAATTTTCTTAGTTAGGCAACTTTTGACATCATCATTAGAATTCCTCTTAATTTTCAGAGATCGTGGAACAAACATCCTTCAATATTCTGTTGAGGAAATCACAGAATGAGATATATTTTACCCTCAATTAAGTTCACACATAACCCTGTATGGTTGTGTCCTACTGTTTTACCTCAAAGAAACAGGGAAGACATCATGATGCTACTTGAACCAAGCTTTTCTCCCTTTTCTTGGTTTCCGCTGATGAAAAAATTATGTCCTTCCTCTCACACACTGGAGTAGGGAGCACACCGCTTAACACAGCCCTGCGGTTTACTGATCACTTGCACTTTCAAGGATCAAGTATTACAGAAATCCAAGAGTAAATCTTTCTAGTACATTTTCACAGAAGAAAACGGGAGGGGGTCCATCACAACTAAGACTTTAAAATCGAAACAATGTTATAATGCTCATTGTAAGTAATGCTGAGTGCTTCTTTTGTTCAGTGTTTACTGCTTTAATCTTTACAAAACCCATATAAAGTGGGTTGGTAGCACCTTACATGTACATAATACACACACAAATGTTTTCTTTTACAGACCACATTATGTATGTTACATAGTATAATAAAACACATATCTGTGCATATATCTGTATCTACCTATAGGTCTGGGGGTACAGCTTGGTGACAGAGCACTTGCCTAGCATGTGAGGCCCTGGGTTCCATTCTCAGCATCACAATAAAAAAATTAATTTAAAAAGTTAACTGCCAGGTCTAGCTCCAAATAAAACTGGTTTTGCACATGTAGAAACTCTGCCAGGCCTGTGGGGTATTTCAGGTGGTAAGAGCGCCTGTCTTGCAAGCATGAACGGAAGCTCAAACCCCAGTACCGACAGAAGAAACTCGCCTAGAGTTCTTGATTTTTAAGTGTGCTTGCCCTCTGGCTCCAAAGCACAATTTCTGCTTTTTAACAAAAATCCTAGTGACTGGAGAACACTTTTAACCTAATTTGGAGGCTTCCAAATATACTTAAAAAAACCTGAAACTCCGCTTTCCAGAACAATTCCTGCACAAACTCATCTGAGGGGCTGGGGTTGCTTCGCAAGTCCGGGGACGTGCGGGTGGGGTCTGCTCCACGCGAGAGGCGCTGGCAGCTTCAAGTCCCCAAAGCCGCGACACGACACCAGCCGGGCAGGGCGGGGGCCCCTCTCCCGCGGCCGCGCGCGTTCCACCCCAGGGCGCGTGCACGTCAGGGCGCTGCTAGGGGACGGGCGGGAGGGGCGCCGGGTTCCCGCCGGGGGCGGGAAGGAGGAGGAGGGTACCGGAGGGAAGGTGGTCCTGTGACCACCTTGCTGCCGCGGCTTCGCGCCCCGATCCCTGAGGAGGGGAAGCGGGACGGAGAGAGGCCCGCGCACGCTCACCCGCACGGGCCTGGGCCGCTTCCGCTCCCGCTCCAGGCCGCTCCCCGTGTAGGCGCTGGGCCCGGCTTCCTGCCGACAAGCCCGGACCCGTCCCGCTGGAGCGCGGCCTGGGCGGGCCGGGGAAAGTGGAGCGGAGCCAGAGTCCACTTCTCCGCGTTTTGGGAGGGGCCGGCGCCTCCGCGCGGCGGGGGCGGGGCGAGGCGGGAGGCGGAGCTAGGTAGGACTTGTGGGCGGGACTTCGCGCTTCCCCCGCCCCTTCCGCCGCTCCAGCACGGTGAATGTAGGGCACCCAGCCTTGCGAGCCCAAGCAGATTCCGTTTGGACGCGCGGGAGTGGCGATTCTTTTGGAAGAATTTACGTAATGGAGTAGGCGGGGACTGGTGACAAAATCAGCCCGCCCGGAAAGACGCAAGAGGGTGGCGCGCGAGCCCGGCGCCCTCGGAAAGTGGGATCTTGAGGGTAAGAAGGACGGGCGGAGTTCCCGCGGGGCCCGAAAACCCCCATTCTGTTTTTGGTTGGCAAAAATGGTGCAAAATTAAACTACGCTTAATATTTGATAAACATTTGGATAACTATTTCTATCACCCCCCCCCACACACACATACAGTTCCTCTGGAGTCGCTTGTCCCAGAAGCTTCCTGGGGTGTGTGTGTGTTGAGAAGTTAAGGGGGTGGGGAGAAAACGGAATGCAAGGAAGGAACTAAAGGTTAATGACTGGAAATATTCTGGGTTGTCTTAAGAATTTTTAAATATTTATTGATGCTTACAAAACAGCATATTTAACAAACATGATTTAAAGCACTGTAGTAAGACAAAAGTGTGACTTCATAACATAATCAGCAGTTAGCATTTCTGCATCTCCTGGATTCTACCCCTCGCCCGTTTCTCCACCACTGTTATCCTGAGTTCTGTTTGAATGTTCTTGCCATTTTTAGTGAATGCATTTTGGATGCATCTGTAAACGATATGTTCTTTTGTGTTCTTTTTGTGCTTGGGGAGATCAGGCTGTGCCTGTCCTGAGGGACTCCATTTTATAAAACAGCAGGGTGCTCCATTTTGAGTGCAAATGGTGAGGCAACATGACTCTACATCTTGTTTGTACAAGTAAATATGTCCTGCACAAACTGTGGGACAGACTGACAAATTATTTACATAAATAAAAATTACTACCCATGAATTTATCAAACTAACTCAGAAACACGTGGACATGTGGGTGTATCAAACCCATATCAAAAATGCCAGGCCCATGAACTCAACATACCAGACCTAGGAATAATGCAATCGCCTCACCTGCATCATATGAAAGGAGGAACACATAACTCTGGAGTACGGTCATCCCAGGCTTCAGCTGACCTGGGACTCAGCTCTATGCCTGGCTTGATGTGATCCACTTGGGTTGCCCTCCTGATCCTGTAAGCCTGGAATTAGCACTACATTTTGAACCAGCTTTGCTCCTTGAACTAGATCTGCTTATTTTTCTTTTTTTTTTTTTTGTGGCACTGGGGTTTGAAGTCAGGGCCTCACACTTGCTACCTCCACTCCTGTTTTGTGTTAGGTATCTTTAAGATAAGGTCCCTGGAACTATTTGCCTGGGCTGCTTTCAAACCTTGATCCTCCTGATCTCTGTCAGCCTTAGGTCTGCATTTTGACACACCAGCCTCAACAGCTCTGTGACTGGATTCTTACTAGTATCTTATCTAACCACCTCCAGTGACTCTCTGCATTTTATCAGCTCTCTGCCCTTGCCTTCAACAAGATCTCTTTGAACCCTTGGCCTTGTTAACCCTTTCTTAGCTTCCTGTAGCTTGTATTGTTGTGAAGTATATTATTGTGAAGCTAGGATTACAGCTTTGAGCCACTGCACCCAGCCTTTAAAAAACTTTTGGGGGAAAAAAAAAATCAAACTTATAAAAAAAATTCATGACTAATGTAGTGTTCATATATATTTTTTTGTGCTCTTCACATAGTTTCACAGTTTGCTGTATTTGTGTATAAAAAGGATTTATTGTTGAACAATTGGAAAGTAAATTAATTATAGCACATGCCTATGGAAACAAAGATATTCTTTCGTGACTGCACAGATCAATGCTCAAATTTAGGTGTTTTAGCATTGATGTCATACAAATAGCTATTACATAAGTCTTGAGTAAAATTTTGCCAGTTGTTCCAAAAAGGTCTTTAGAAACCGACCCCCACACTCCCCTGCCCCAACCCCACCCAATCTAGGATCCAGTCCAGGGTCTTTCTTTTTTTTTTTTTTTTTTTTGAGACAGAGTCTCTCTATGTAGCCCAGGCTAGACTCAAACACATGACCCTCCTGCCTAAGTGCTGGGATTACTGGCATGTGCCAGCATGCAGGACTTTTGATGAACAAAAGTTCTCAAATTTAATGTAATCGAATTGTTAGTCTCTTCTTTTGTAGCAAGCAATTTGGTGTTCAAAAAAATCCTTGCCTACTGTAAAGTCCGGAAGGTATTATAGAATTTTTGAAAAAGTTTAAAAGTTTTTCTTTTCATGGTTTAATCATTGGTTTGTGTCTGATATGAAATAAGAATCTATTTTGTTTTCCAAATGGCTAGTCACTTGTCCAAATATCATGTATTAAATAGTATTCTTTCTTGAGTGGTCCTTAAGGAAATTTTTGGTCGTATAGCAAGATTCCACAATGCCCAAGTCTGTTTCAGGACTCACTGTTCTTTTCCCAGTTTTCTATCCCTGTGCCAAAATACCATCCTGTCTTGATTACAGCTTTATTAAAGGTTTTGCTATCTGGTTGAGCAAGTTCCCCCACATTAAGAATGTCTTGCCCAGTGGGGCGGGGTAATCCTAGCCTGTAACCCTAGCTACTTGGGAGGTTGAGACTGGGAGGATTGCTGTTTGAGGCCAGCCTAAGCAAAAGTTCATGAGACCCCATCTCAACCAATAACTGGACTTGGTGGTAAACACCTGTCATCCCAGCTACATGGTGAAGGACAAACAGGAGGATCATGGTCCAGGCTGGCCTGGACCTAAAGTGAGACTGTCTCAAAAATAACATAAAAAGGGCTGGCAAAGTGGCTCAAGTGGTAGAGCACCTAATTAGAAAGTGCAGGGCCCTGAGTTCAACCCTGTACCATCATTTAAAAAAAAAAGAGTGTCATGCTGTATGTTGGTACATGCCTCTAATCCCAGCACTTAGGAGGCTGAGGCAGGAAGGTCACAAGTTTGAGACCAGCCTGGACTACATACTGAGACCCTGTCTCAAAACAAACAAGTGCCTTGACTCTTCTTGGGCTTTGATTTTCCATATCCATTTTAAGAATCAACTTGTCAGTTTCAAAATAAATAAAGTCTTGGTGTGATTATGTTTGGAAATGCATTATTTCTACATCATGAAGAACATAGAAAAAGAATGATAGCTGGGTGTGGCGATGCATGTCTGGAACCTACTGCCCAGGAGCCTGAAACAGGAGGATCGTGAGTTCCAGGCCAACCTTGTGTACATATTGAGACAGTCTCAAACAAACAAATTTAATAATAATTTTAAAAAAAGGATGAAGAAGGTTTATTCATATAGGTACAACAATGGGTGTCAAATAAAGCAAGCCTGGCCGATCAGATTTTCTACATCCTTACTAAGGTTCACATTCAGATTTGCCTGTCAATACTTCTCACCCATTCATAGATAAAATGGATCAGTCACTCCCTCATTAAAATTGTGATTTATCCATTTTCCTCTGCAGTCCTAGCATTGTAGTTTTGTGTCATTGAGGGCCATTGATTGTATTTAGGTCAGTATTTGTAAAGCAACTTAAACCTTAATATATCATAGAATCTTAGATCTGAATGCACTCACCAGAGTCCAGTCAATCCCCCTGCCACTCTCCACGCACCTGCAGGTGTTACTATCTCCCAGCACCTACTACATGACCAGCTGACTTATGGAAGGTTTTCAGGACAGGGGCTTACCTTACAGGGCCGTCCAGTTCTTCCTTGAAGACCTCTGTATGGCTAAGTAATATTTTATAAATATTGTCGTGTTTAGTTCTTAGTATAATCACCTGAAGTAGGCATTTTATTCCATTGTACTAAAGAAGAAACAGGTTAGGGCACCTAAGCAACTTGCCCAGGTCACACAAGTAGCCGGTGGCACTGTAGGACTTTAAGCCCGGGTCTGCCTCCTCAATTCACTACTACACTGCCTCTAAGCTCTTATTTCTGTAGAATCTACAGCCATGTCCATCTAATTTTCAGT